GATGCCTACCGACAGATAGTTGTTTATATACACTTTACATGTCTCTTCAAATTGCATGATACCATTGCTCAAAACCCTACCGAAATGCACAAACTTTCCTGATAACTGGAATATTATAACCCTTCGTCTAGCGCACTTATCAAAGAACGCGACAACGCAAAAATAATGCAAGTACTTGACAGGTACCTACAATTCTGCTAGACTAAACAATTTTTTCCCAAATTTTTGTTTAAGCTTTAGGCTTCTTTGCTGTACGTGGACTAAGTCAACATAAACGTTTCAAATTATAAAAGGATTTGCTACACCATAAATAGATGAATAAAATGAATTTACCCACCCTCAAACATTTGCCCATTTCAAGACCCACAGTTCGTTGAAATTCATCTTCATTTTTCAATTTTGTCTCCTCTTGTTTGCAGGCCTCTAGATAAATCCGATCTAACTCCTTTTCACGGTCTTTTTCCTCCTGGGTTAAGTTAAAGCAAATGTACAACCAGTAGGACTGTATGATCTTTTAAGAAGAACTGGCATCTCAATTATAACAGTCTACCTTAATTGCCATCTTTTTTAATTCAAGAACACGATCAAGCTCGTTGCAATAGTCACGTTGCTGTTTGGCGCGTTGCTTGGGTTCGTTGAACACCTCGTCGGCTTCTTGAGCTGAAGCCAAGATTGCACGACCTATTTCTATTTCACTAGAAGCTTTGGCAGCCTGTTTTGAGAGGCTACTTTCGGCAGCATGCTGCATCTCCACTAGTTTTAAAGCCGCTAACTCCTGTAAAAAAAAGGAATTGGTCTGGAACTTGAAGAAAGGAAGAAGAAAAAGAAGAAGGCAAGATGGCACTTACCTGCCTTCTGCGATTGGCCTCCACGTTTTTAGACCATGTATCTCGACCTGCGTCAATAGCATCGTTCAGTGCCTCCTGTTCTAACAGCTTCTTCATCTCGAATTCAAGTTCGTCTTGTTTACGATCCGACAGCTCCTTCTTACGTCGCGATAACTCCTCCAGGGTGCTCCTTTTTAGCGCCTCCTTCCGATGAAATATAGCCTCTTTTTCCCTTAACATACAAGATAATTTTGGTATAATCTTACAAGTTGTTCTACCTCACCCCTCACCCTCACTTCTCCCTAGTTCCCGGAATTTGGTTCTGTGTACGCTTTAGTTTAAACTTTGGAAAACATTGCCCTAGAGCCAGTGCCACAGGATATATTTAACATTATTTAACAGATAGGAATACAAAATATACACATTTTTTAAACAAGTTATTTAAAAACTATAATAGGAAACTTTGAAGTGTCAATATCATTGAAGTAAAACTTACGCTTTAATTTCAGCTAACTCCTTTGCTAAAACCTCCTCACAGCGTTTCTTCTCAGCTTCAAAATTTGTGCAATCCTTGGACGGATGTGTGGCAATCTAAAATGTTGCAACAGACCAGTGAATGGTCTTTCCATCTTTTACGCGCCGGCTCTTTTACGCAGCTGTTGTAACATTTTCTCCGTCCTGGGGGCGTTATTAAGTGGTGCATCAGTGACAGCGGTCAGGAATTCCGGCCTGAATGTCAATCTCAAAAGTACCGCAATAGTTTGCCTTGCCTACAGCGGGTAGGTGAATCTTCTGAGGCTCCTACTATGGTGATTATCTTGTCCATGTTTGCCCTAAGTAATTATTTATTTAATGAAAACTTGAAATGTTCCACAGTGAAGTAAATGCGATGTTCCCATGGAGATGAGTGTTTTTGACATTCTATTTAGCCGAATTAAACTGATGAGGACACTTAACTAATCAAACTCCCCAATCGCCGGGTCATTGCTATGGTGTCAATACTTGGAGCGTACTTTAATTTACTGATGACTTTTCGAAATTGACAATACTTTAAAATCTAACCTGCTTTATAATGCCCTCTCTGAAGTCCTTCTTCTTGTTGATCTCCGTCAAACGTTCTTTTAGTTCCATCTCACAATTTTTGGCTGTGTACTCCTCTAACCAACACTTCTCTTGTTCCTTGATCTCCATCTGAATGTAAGACATCATTATGTGGATACTCTGACTAGGAGTTGTTGTCCCCTAACATGCTTTATGGCAAAATGTACAGTCATGACAATGATTTGGATGTAAATATGATAAACTTACCGCCTGTTTTTCGCGCCTTTGCTTGTTTTCAATAATCTGAGCGCGCTGGATTAAGCCCATTGCCTTGGAACGAATACGTCTAGCGAATTCCTTCAATCGGGGGCTTCAAACAGGGGAATCACGGTTAGAAGGTGTTGCGATTGGCTTCGATCCACTCTTTAAAGTCCATCTCATTTTATCGAGTAAGTGATAATTTAAGCAAGAGGTACAATGTTTTGACACTTACTCGTCATCTAGGAGTGCGATTGTCGGATCAGCACAAGTTGCGTTAATTGAGTACTCTTTGTCAACAAATTGTGCTAGTTTTTCGTCAACCAGAGAGCACATTTGAGCTGAAGCTACTTCTTGCTGGCAATAAAAAAAAAAACGGAATGTACACTTCTGGAAACGATGCATACTGTCATTCAAAACAAGTCTTTAAGGATTCAATGTCTCCACTAATTGTAGGAACGTAAATAATGTGATGTTACTACCTGCTTTATTTCATCCAAAATTTTGCATTCCTGATCACGAGCTTCAACCATGTGCTTCAACACCTGAGTTCGTGAATCGACAGTGGCTTTACCGGCCGTACGAATGACATTGTTAAGTTGGCTCAACTCCTTAATTTTTCGTGCACGGCCAGCCTCAGCTTTCCTGCACTTCTTGAAACGATCCGGGTGAAGAGCCTAGTGCAACAAATTTGGTGAGATCGGATCAACATTCTACGTAAAACCTACTCGATGCCGCAGAATTTGTCCCCTTAAATCCGGAGTATTCAACGCAAACATGACTACCGCCAAATATGCAACGCCACCTGCCTCGCAAGTGATTGGTTAGCGGAAAAATCGATAATCAATATTTACACGTGGCATTACTTTTGCGGACTTCGGTTGCCACTACTTTTAGGCTCAAATAAAAACACATTTGCACTTTAATTTTAACACTAAATTAACTAACATTCTGTTTATTGTCTCTCGGCAGCAAGTGCTAGCAATTAATAATAATGATTTTGCTTAGAGGATCAAAGCGAAAAAAAACAAAGTAATAAGAAGCTTCCTCTAGGACACTATGCATTGATATATTGGTACACCTT